AGAGAGAGAGAGAGAGAGAGAGAGAGAGAGAGAGAGAGAGAGAGAGAGAGAAATATAGAGTCCTCTGGCAGCCAGGGGTCCCAGTCTGACCTCTTTCAGCCCTAAGCAGGACCCCTCCTCAACAAAACAGAGAGCCTCCTGCAACCCCAGCTTCCCGGGCTCAGCACTGTGTGCTCCCAGGCTCTCTGGGCAGCATCCCAAGGCTCTAACCGATGTTACCAGCTGTCCAGATGCCCCACTCGCTCAGTGCCGTGCTCCGGGCACCCATAACCCACCGAGGAGAGCTGGAGTCTCTACCACCATTTGGAACCCCCTGAGCCTTGTGTGCCAGGCTCACAGCAAGACCCAAAATGCCAAGGTGCCCACAGAGCAGCCAAAAGACAAAACCCGTCCCTGAGCCCCCAACCCACCTGCCAGGGCCCAGTCCACTTCTCCCCAGCCCCTGGGCCTGGTGCCCACCCTGCATCTTCCTCTGCATTCGGCCCCTTCCGGCACCATGACTTCCATCTGGGCACCTGAAGCCCCACACAAGGCCCGAGCCACGCAGGCTCTGCCACAGAACTCTCCTGAACACGCTCTCCGCCCACGGAGGGCCAGGCCCTGGGTGGCTCAGACCCAGCTCAGCGACTAGCCTTTCCCTTGCTGGGGACCCCATTCCTCAGGGGACCCCATGCCACCATGGGGGAAGTGCAGTGGGGTACACAGGTGAGGCTAGGCCATCACTACTACACTGCTCACCACCATCTGTGCCACGCTGCCAGATGGCATCTGGGGTTCCCTCAGGAAGCCCAGCTCAGGCTTGGTGACAGCGCTTCCCACCACTCCATAAGCAGCAGGTGGCCTCTTAGGGGTACACAGGAGGAAAGCAAGTGGGCAGTGGGGAGCAGGCACGGCCCTCTTCCCCTCCCCCTGCTCAGCCAGCATCTCAGGTCCTTGGTTCCTAAACTTTTCACTGCTGTGTGCCAAAGTTCAGGTGGAGGGACAAGAGACCAGTCATGCACCTCACACCTGGAAGGAGGACTGCAGAGTCCGAAGACCACGAAGATGCCAGCGAAAGCCAGCCAGGGCAGCCCAGGCACAGGCAGTGGCTGCTGCGAGGCCGGCTCAGGAGGAGCCCTGCGCCCACGGCCGCAAGCTCACCTCTATGGTGAACAGTGGGTACCGGAAGCACAGCAACACCTCCGTAGCCATGGTCTCCTTGGTTTCCACGACCTCGGCCATGATGAACCCCTTGATGACTGGCTCATCGTCAAACGTGTCTAGGCTGCCAGTGTAGGTGTCAGATTCCCAGGTCAGGACCACATTCGACACTGCCAGGGAGCCAGGCAAGAGGTGACAACTGTCACTAAGCACAGGATAGGGTGGACTTGGGCCATCCTGGGCATGCCCCGCCCTCCCTGTGGAACAAGAAGCTGGGAGTGATTTGGAACTCATAATTTGGAGGTTCTCTGGGCAGCATTCCAAGGCTGTAACAGATGTTACCAGCTGTCCAGACGCCCCACTTGCTCAGTGCCGTGCTCCGGGCACCCATAACCCACCGAGGAAAGCAGACACTCGAGGTGGAGTCTCTACCACCATCAAATACTCTTGTTTTGTGCTGTGGTGCCAGGGATTAAACTCACGGAATCCTTTTTTCATGTTGAGACGTGGTCTCACTGAGTTGCTCTGGCTGGCCTCCAGCTTGCCACCCTCCTGCCTCATCCTCCCAGAACAGGATCACAGGCACCTATCACCATGCCAGGCTACAAAATACTTGTAATGACCTGTCTGGCACCCCTCACTACTGACTCTGTGCCAGGCCCCGGGCTCCTGGTCCCTTGTCTCTGGCCCACACTTCCTCTGGGCCTGGGTCCCTTGGGACCACCCGAAGGTACACCCTTGGTAAGTGCATGTTGGTTTCATTCATGGGCACACCTGTTTGCTAGTGCACAGGTCACAGAGAAGAGGGGTCTTAGAGGTGCGGCCAGGCCCCCGCCCCAGTTCTGGTACCTTTCTCTTGAACCTTCATGGTCTTTTGCACAACACCCAGGTGTCCCAGCTGCCTGCCCGTGTAGGACTGCAGGTCTAAGGAGCCCGAGAAGACAATGGTCTGGGGAGTGGCGGCCTTCCTCCTCAGAGTCACAGAGAAGTGGAGCGGGTCCCCCAGCAGCACCGGGTCCTCCTGCACCAGCAGCTCCAGCAGGTTCTCTTTGACCGGAAGCGTGTACTCACGCCTGAAGCTGAGCAGCGAGAAGGCGTGGTCCATGACCGCCCTCTCCTCCCGAGAGCCTGTGTGACACAGAGCAGCCTGAGAGTGCCAGCAGCCACCTGCCTGAGCACGAGGGCCCGCCTGCCCCTCTGGGACTCCAGGGTGGCCGCAGAGCATCCACATCTGGTTCTCCTCTCCAAGACAGTGCTGAGCAACTGGCCACAATGATCCAAGTCCACTTCCTCTGAATTCCTGAAACCAACTAAGGTCTGGCGACCCTCGGGTGGCCTCCCACCGCCACCTCCTGTCCCCTCTCCCTCTCTCTCCTATCCATACTCTTGGGGCTGCAGCCCCGCCCCCCACCCACCAGGGAATTCTCTACTCGAGCCCGTCTCAGCTCCCTGCACACCACAGTGGCCAGGCACCAGGCAGAAAGCAAGGGGCCTCAGTGGCTGAGCTGCCTCAGGTGGCAGTAAATGAGCAAAACCTAAAGAGAGAGCTGAGCAGGGGATGTCCCCTGGCCCCAGAGGTCTGCATAGACCTGGCCCATGAGAGCTCACAGAAGGACTGCGCCTCGGCAAACACAGAGCCCAGGCTTGGCCAGGGTGGAGGTCGGCGAGCACAGGCTCCCAGGCGGGGTGCCCCTCCCCTGTAGCGCTGCCTGGCTTCTCCTCCTGCTCTGATCCAGTCCATGATAGTGTCCAGGCGGGGGCACGGACCAAGCTCGCAGCCTGGGGCTCTGCTGTGAGCCGCAGCCATGTTCTCAAACAGGATCTTTGTCCTTGGTTCTGGGACTGAACACAGGACTCAGACTGAGCTCTGTCCCCAGCCCTTTTCTAATTCTGAGACAGGCAGTCACATCAGTGGCCGGGCTGGGTTTGCAGGTGCCATCCTCCTGCCTCAGCCTCGCGCTGTACTGGGAGGACAGGTGTGTACCATGTGCCCAGCCCCTTTCAGGGTCCCTAGGTTCCCAGGATGAGTGGGGAGGGGCAGGCCCCTGCCGCCTACCTTCGGGGAACTTATACTGGTGGGTGATGTCGCTGCGCCGGTCCTGGCCCACCGCCTTGGTACTGACGTTCTTGCCGATGCTCATGGTCTCCACCGAGAGCAGGCTCACCTTCTCGCGTTCGCCTACTGTGCGCACCAGCCACACCAGCTTGTCGGCATTCACCTCCGAGAACACGAACTTGGTGTCGTAGCCCATGAAGATGTCACCCCTGCGCACGGCGGCCACAGGCGAGGGCCCGCAGCAGTAGATCCCTGGGGATGGAAGGCAGAAGTGGCTGGGGCCGGGAGCCCCGCCAGCCCACTGGGGTACAAGGTGGCCTTGCACACCGGAAACACACCCTGGCTCAGCTCTTGCGGCGTGCCATCCAACACCTGCCAGCCTTCGTTCCCTGGGGGTAGGTCCCTGCGCCGCATCCAGGCCTCAGTCCATACGTGGAAGTTCCTGTGGGAGAGGGTGGGACACTGTGAGGGGCTCCCTGAGTGGGGGCACCTTCACCCACTGAGTCCCCACCCTTGCGATCCTACCTTACCCCTCACCCTGGCTGGCTTGCTAGGCAGGAACAGCCCCCTCTGGATGATCCTGGGGTGGATTTTTATCGGAGGGAGCTCTCACTCTGTGGCCCAGGCTGGCCCCAAACTCACAGCAACCCTCCTACCTCAACCTGCCGGGTGCAGGCCTAGGGCTGCGCCATCACGCCCGGCGGCAACAACACTGTCCAGATGCCTCCTTTCCAATAGCTTCAGATTCTTTCTGTTTTCCTTCCTCCCTCTCTTTCAGCCTCTTGGCACATGAACTAGAATTCCCAGCAGCAGTGGACTAAAAGCTTGGTCCAGGTTCCCATGCAGCCCCCACCCTAGCAAGGATGCCCCCGGCCTGACCTCCCCACCGCCCCTGCCTCCTCCTCTGGTCTCTTATCAGCTTGGAAAGCGCCATGTGCTCTGACACCAAAGGCCACAGAGCTTTGTGCTGTGGTGGGAGGCAGTCAGAGGGAGGTCTCTCAGGCTGATGCGTGGACTCCAGGCCGACTCTCTGGTCTGCCTGTCTGCAGGTGGAGGCCATGGTCCAGCAGTCCAGGAAGTGGCTTTTCTGGTTCTTTCCTAGGCCTGCCCTCACTAGCTAGCCATTTATTTATTTATTTATTTATTTATTTATTTATTTATTTATGGCAGAACCAGGGATTGAACTCAGGCCCTTGTGTTTGCCAGGGAAACGTTTATTCTACTGAGCCATCTCTCCAGCCCCCCTTATTTTTTTGAGGAGGAATTTTTTTGGTGGGGGGTGCTGGCTCAGGCTGCCTTAAGGGTGGGTCTGGTATGTGGAGCTGGGAATCAAACCATGGTTCCCCGCGCCTGACTGGGTTTGCCCAAGCAGGTGCTTAAACAACTGAGCTAACCGGCAAGCCCCCTCCTTTTTATTTTTATTTATTTATTTATTTATTTTGCGGAACTGGGGATTGAACTCAGGCCCTTGCACTTGCTAGGGAAGCGCTTATTCCACTGAGCCATCTCCCCAGCCCCCCTCCTTTTTATTTTTTGAGACAAGGTTTTGCTAAGTCACCCAGAGTGGGCTCAAACTCGGCTCCTCCTGCCTCAGCCTCCCGGAGAGCTAGGATGACAGGTGGGCCACATGCACCTGCAATCTGCTTTCTAACAACGCTGAGGTGTGTTGGGTGGGGGGGGGTTCCAGATTGGCTCAGGCCGAAGCTTGGAGCACCTGGGCCTGGGAACTGAGCAGCTTCTTGGGGTGGGGGTGGGGTGGGGCACAGCTCCGCCAGGACTGGAGACCCAGAAAGGCAGGGCGGGGTACCCTACCAGATGGAGTCGTTGGTCTTGTTGGACACTGTCTTGCCCATCTCATTCACGAACATGTCCAGCGTGAGGTTCTCCTCTGTGTCGTGGGCTGAGTCAAAGGCTGTCACGGGGCGCGCGGGAATCCCCAGTGCCCGCAGCACTGCAAGGGGCAGGGTGTCAGCCGGGACCCCAGCCTCCCCACGCCCGCCCCGCGCCCACCCGCCGCACCCACCTGTGGTCAGGACGCCCGCGAAGACCCAGCACTGGCCGAAGGACACGGGTGTCCGGGAGCTGTAGTACTGCTTTAGAATGGGCACGCTGCTCGTCCACAGGTGGGGCGCCGTGCCACCCTCGTACTCTCCGGACCAGTTCCCCACCAGCACGCCGTCCTTGTTCTGTGAGTTGACCTGACACACCAAGGCGGGCACTCGTGGATACACCCATCCAGCGGGCCAGGGCAGGGGCCCAAGGTCCAAGGGCCAGTGCCATCTGCCTGTGCCTCAGTCTCCTCTCTGTAAACTGCTGGTCATGATCATGCCCCCTCGGAACTGTGTGAGGGTGAACTGGACAAAGCCTGTGCCGGCTGTGGGATCTTCGGTTTCTAAACTCATTGTGAGTGGCCTGCATCTGTCCCTGCCACTAGATTTGGGGGAGCCGAGGCCTCACTATTAACCCAGGCTAGCCTTGAACTCACAACAATTCTGAGGGCCAAGATTATAAGCATGTGCCACCATACCCAGCAACTTGATTAGAAGCAGAGAGAAGGCAAAGCCCCCAAAGCCCCCTCCTAAACCTTGGTGTGTGGGAAGAAGCTCTCAGTTTAAAAATGCACAGGCTCAGGCCGGCCAAATAGCTCAGCAGACTAAAGTGCCTGCTTAGGCAGAACACAATGGCTGGGGTTCAATCCTCTAAATGCCGTGCCGGCCCCAACCCCGGGGGACGCTGAGACAGTGATTGAGACTAGGAGTGGTGGTGCGTGCCTGTAATCTCAGCTCTTGGGAGGCTCAAAACAAGAGAATCACTACAAGTCTGTTCTATGTAGTGAGACCTTGTAGACCCTGTACCCTGTAGGCCCTGTACTAAATTTAAAAAATATATATATACAGGCTCTTCCAGGTGGGGTCCTGACTCTACACCCAGCATCGGAGGCTGAGGCAGGAGGATGGAAAGTCCCAGCCAGCCTTGGCAATTTAGCAAGACTCTGGCCTCAAAATTGAAAAATGAAAAAGGGTCCAGGATGCAGCTAAATTGATGGCCCTGGGTACAAATCCCCAGTACCGCAAAAATAAAGTAAAATAAGCTATGAAGCAGGCAGCACACTGGAGCACTCCCAGGCAAGCTTGATACTGTGGATTCGAGTCTCAGCACCAAAAAAAAAAAAAAAAAAAAAAAAATCACGAAGGATCCTAAGTTAGATTTTTCAGTGTAAGCCCTTGAGCGGTCACATCTACAGACAGGCCTGAGGGCCTCTAAAGATGACAACAGTCACAGCACTGCAGCCGCACTCCCTCCTGCGCTGCATGGGACACTGACCTTCTGCACTAGCTCAGGACATGTGGCAAGCACAGCTTCACTGCCTGGCCCCCTGGGGACAAAGCACTTTGGTTTTCAAAAGCTGAAGCTCTGCAGTCGTGTCCTAGCTCGGGCTCACAAGGCTTTGAGCCACATGGAGCTTCCCACACCCCACACCCCACAGTGTGGCCCCAGCCTCACTGGGCTCGAGGGTCACAGCCCCATATGGAACCCAGGGGAACTGGGCATGAGGTGGCATGCCCCCAGCTGTCACCAGGTCCCCTCTCTGTTCTCCACCTGCCCAGGAGCTCTGGGAGCTCCCAGGACATGCAGGTGTCCAGGTCTCCAACTAGAGACAGCCAGGCAGAGTCCCTTCCCTGAACCCAGCTACTCCCTGCTGACCACCTGAATATGGCAGAAGTGGGGTTCCACAACCGAGCGTGGTGCATACCTTTTTTCTCCCTCCTCCCAAGGAACCCTGAGGCTGCTACAGTGGGGTGAGCAGCACAGAAGCCCCTGCAGGTCCAACAACAGAGCTGCAAAAGCTGCACCTGGGGCCACTTGTTATGCAGCTGTAGCTGCACATGTGCTGACTGCGGCATCTGGCCCTTCTGGGGTGGGCACCCTCCCAGGCAGCCCCACCTGGCGCTCCCTCTGCCTGCTGCTCAGAAGCCTGCAGTGGCCCAGGGTGCCCACGTGAAAGGGACCACGCCTCCAGCCAGACCTCCAAACACCCTCCGTTCAGAGGCTCCTAGCCTGGGACCTCCGCTTTAGAATCTAGTTTTGGAAGTGATTCCAGCCACGCATCCCAGCCACACTGGGCTGGCATGGAAGCACGCGGAGGAGCACTGCACGGGGGCCACAGAGTGGGCTCAGGGCCTGCAGCCCGGGTTCCTAGTCCCTGCAATGAACCGGCTGCAACCCTGCTTCCCAGCCAGTGCCCACAAGGGCTGCCGGAGACAGACAGCACAAATCCCCTTGCCCTGACAGTGGGCTGCAGCACCCAGAGCCCACGGTCACAGCCAGGGGCTCCCTACGCACCGGGAATGAAGTCATGAGCAGGGACCAGCGGAGAGAGTGGCACCAGAGGCTCCGGAGGAGTCGGGGTCTGCCCCTGAACCTCGGGCACACCCACTGCAGGGGCCAGGCGTGCAATGCATGCAGGCTGGGTGTGGCCAACTCTCAGGACCACCCCTTCACGCTGAGGGACTGGGGAGATGGCACAGTAGAATAAGTGCTTCCCTGGCAAGTGCAAGGGTCTAAGTTCAATCCCCAGTTCTGGAAAAAAAAAATCACACTGAACAAAAAGCTGAGTGTGGCAGCTCAGGCCTGTAACCCCAGAGCTTGGAGGCTGAGGCAGGAGGACAGCCAGCCTGGGCTCCATAGCAAAACCTTGTCTCAAAAAAAGAGACAAATCCTCACTTGTTGAGCATGGGTGTAATATCAAAAAGAATATTTTCCAGGCTGGGGAGACAGCTCAGGGGTCCAAGTGCCTGCTTTGGAAGCTCAAGGACCCAAGTTTGATCCCTGGTACTGCATATCATGCCGGGCCCAGAACCCCAGGTGTGCCTGCCAGTCCCAAAACCGGGCGTGGTGGCACATGCCTGGAATCCTAGTGGTGGGAGGCTGAGACAGGGGGATCACTGCGAGTCTGAACTGGGTAGTGAGACCCTGTATCCAATAAATAGATAATCTAAAAAGAAAGGAAGGAAGAGAGAATATTTCCCATTTCCCGGAAGGGCTATGGAAACACTCCTGCCTTCCACACCTGTGTGTCCACGTGGGGCGGATGCCCTGCTTCCACACCTACATATCCACATGGGGCGATTCCCCCATATATTCCTGCACATACAGCAATGTGTCCTGGCATGGAGGAGACATCACTAGGCCATAAAGAGATTTGCAAAAGCATAAACAGTGTTACTCTTCTAATTGTGTCATATGCTTTGCTTTTTTTTTTTATTTTTTTGCAGAGCCAGGGATTGAACTCAGACCCTTGTGCTTGCCAGGCAAGCACTTACTCCACTGAGCCATCTCCCCAGCCTGTGTCATATGCTTTGAAAAACAGGTCTTTTGGTTTTTCTTTTGAGACAGGGTCTCACTATGTAGTTCAGGCTGGCCTCGAGCTCACTGTGTAGTTCAGGCTGGCCTCACGCTTGCTGCAGTCCTCCTGCCTCAGCCTCCCGAGTGCTGGGATTATAAGTGTGCATTTTACCCAGGTTTAGAGTTCTGGGTTTTTGGGTGGTGGGGGATTACAGGTTGTTAACACTGAATGGATGTATTACTATTCTTTAAGAAGAAAAACAGCTTTTAAACTTCTCAGGTTTGATTTCTAATGCAGTAAGTCTCTGTAGATCTGAATCTCACGAACACGCCTCCTGGGGTGTGTGGAAAGCCCCTGGGACCAGCTGCCTGTGAGCTGTGCTCTGGGAAATGGACTTCTGGACACCCAGGGACCCGAGGTGACCCGCGGTCCGCTTGCCTGCCTTGGCTCCTGGGGACCGGGTTCCCCATCACCCTCTGAACCCTGCAAGCTCCCGCCCACGGGAGCTGAGCTGCGCACTCGCCCGACTGCAGCCTGGCCCCAGGACGGGACTCACGCGCACACTGATTC